CCCGGAGATCCCCGTATCAGGGATCTCAACGCGGAGATTCGGCAACTTGTAAACGTACATAAGCGGAAGAAGTGGGAGGAGCACCTGAAGACTTGTAATTTCACCTCTGGTGTGAGCAAGCTTTGGTCAACCGTGAGGTCATTGTCTAATCCGACGAAGCACGACGACAGAGTCGAAATTTCCTTCGGCGACCATGCTTCGTCGGACCCGGAGCGATGCGCGAGCTATTTTAGCCGGCAGTTCATACTGCATCCTCCGGTAGACAAAGCCAAGCGTCGAGTGACCAGAAAGCTGCACAAACTGCCAACAAATTGTGCCCCCCTTGCTTTCACTTGCGGTGAAGTTCGGGTGGCCATCGGGAAGGCGAAAGCCTCCAAAGCCATGGGTCCCGACGGAATATGCATGTTGATGCTGAAAAATTTGGGTCCTGCGGGGGTAGCGTACCTAACGGAGGTCCTCAACCTGTCAATGGCCACTCTCATCATCCCAGACATCTGGAAGGTGGGGAGAGTGGTCCCACTGCTCAAACCGGGGAAACCCGCCAACAAAGGAGATTCGTATCGTCCGATTACACTCCTTTCCCCGGTAGCGAAGACACTCGAGGCCTTGCTACTCCCGTACTTCACAAACCACCTGACCCCAGCGAAGCATCAGCATGGTTTCCGTAAAGTGCACAGTACAACAACAGCACTTAACGCCATAAACACTCAGATAACTCGTGGCCTTAACCGCAACCGTCCCTGTGAGAGAACGATCCTAGTAGCGTTGGACTTGTCAAAGGCGTTTGACACCGTCTGCCATTCCACGCTGCTAGAAGATATAGAGGCCTCCTCTCTCCCACAGAGGCTCAAACGGTGGTCGGCGAATTATCTGAGTGGTCGACATTCGTCGGTAACATTTAGAGACCAAACGAGTAAGCAGCGAAAAATAAAACAGGGGGTTCCTCAGGGTGGTGTCCTTTCCCCGCTACTGTTTAACTTTTATATTTCAAAGCTCCCTCAACCACCAGAGGGAGTCTCGATTGTCTCCTATGCCGACGACTGCTCGATCATGGCGACTGGGAATGGAATTGATGACCTGTGTTTGAAAGTAAACGGCTATCTCTCCGAACTTTCTCGCTTCTTCACTGCAAAGTGTCTAGCCCTCTCCCCTACGAAATCCTCCGCGACCCTGTTCACAACCTGGACGAAGGAGGTCAGGCTACCGCTGGGGATTCACGTCGATGACACACCAATTCCGACGGTGAATAACCCCGAAATACTCGGAGTAACTTTCGACAGCCTGCTCTCCTTCTCTGCGCACTCAACCGCTATTGTCAATAAAGTACAGAGCCGCAACAACGTCCTCAAGTCGCTAGCCGGCAGTACTTGGGGCAAAGACAAAGAAACGTTGCTGGCAACATACAAGGCAATAGGCCGGCCGGTTTTGAACTACGCAGCGCCAGTGTGGTCGCCAGGGACTAGTAGGACGCAGTGGACGAAGCTACAGACGGTACGAAATACGGCACTTAGGACAGCGACGGGATGCCTCCTGATGTCGCCAGAACACCACTTGCACGGCGAGGCGCAAATGCTCCCAGTTAAGGAGCACAACATAATGCTCTGCAAGCAGTTCCTGATCGGGAGCCACAGAAGTGGCCACCCAAACAGACAGCTGCTTGCAGAGGAGCCCTCGCCTAGGCACGTCAGGAGGCATCTATATGAACTGACGGACGAAGTCCAGAGGTTCATTAAGCAACCTCTGGACCCGACAGCGTACAGACAGGCCCTGAACGGCATTCACAGGGACTCAGTCTCGAGTTATGTAGACTCTAGACCTGTGAATGCCGTTCTAGGCATACCACCCCCGGACATTGACGAGACAGAGCTTCATCTGCCTCGGGAGACACGCACTACACTCGCTCAACTTCGCTCCGGCTACTGCAGCAGGTTAAACTCCTACTTGAGTAGGCTGAATGAGGATGTGCCGAACGAATGTCCGGCATGCGGAGAGACCCCACATGACTCGAACCATCTCTTCGCATGCCCGGAAAACCCGACAACCCTAACGGCCTTGTCCCTGTGGACAGATCCCACAGAAGCTGCACGCTTCCTAGGGTTGCCGTTAGTGGAACTTGACGACAACGACTGAGATACCGACCGATCTGGGCGGGGCTGTTGTAGCCGCTACAACAACAACAACAACAGAACACATCAAATAAAAGTGTTAAAGAAACGAGTGAAAATTGTATTAAACACAAGCAAACGATGAAATAAAATTTATAAAAAAGTAATGGGAATAGGTTTTTTTATTTTATATAAGGTTTTATTATTTTACATGACCATTTAAATGGTCTATTGTCATTAGACCAAAGAATGATCCAAGGTAATTAGTCTAAAATATGGTCTAATCAGATGAGAATACAACATGATCTAGTGCAACCACCAGATATAATAGTCCAGTAGGTACACTTTAAGAAGTGGTCTAGTGTAAGCAGTCGCGTCGATGGACCAAAAGGTGTGGTTACGTATGTGGTCCAGTGTAAGCAGTCGCGTCG